AAGGCCGAAAAAGAATAGGATCCCATCAAGGGGTGAGAAACTTAAGCAAATAAGGTGCGGGAGATGTGATAAGCTGGGGAGCCATAATCGGAAGTCATGCAAGGAGCCGATATAGGATGTACATTTTTCATTTTAACGTTGTGTTTTACATTGGATTCTTATATTCATTTCTGAAATAAGATTGTGTTGTGTTGGCAAGCAAAATAATGGTTTGGCAAACTTATTTTACCTTATTGTTGTCAATGTTGACATGCATATAAGATGTGATGTGAACTTTCACATGCATGAAGATTGACATGGTGTGAACATGTGCAACTGTTATGAATGTAAAGAAATGTGAATATTCACACCTGTTCATGTTACCCGTAATGATGTCATGCAAACAATGTGTACATTCCTGCACAAGGTATGTGTATTACATTAAAAACTGGTTCCACAAATCGCATCAAATATGCTCATCACAACACGGCATTATGAATATCATAAGTGAGTATGAACATTCACATCAGTGTTGCAACTGTGAACAGTCACAGTTGTAAACATTAGTGCATATGAATATCATAAGTGAATGTAAACATTAGTGCATATGCATATGAATATCAAAAGTGAATGCTCATCACAACACGGCATTATGAATATCATAAGTGAGTATGAACATTCACATTAGTGTTTACAATTGCTATGAGCAAGAACAAATGTGAATATTCACACATGTGTATGTGATCCGTAATTATGTCACGTAGACCAAGTGTACACTCCTGCACAAAGTATGTGCATTAAACAACAGTCAGGTTCAAACATTCGCAGAAATTTTTCTCACAACAACACAGCAGTATGCATATCGTTCGTGACTGTGAACATTCACATTAGTGGTACAACTGTGGACATTCACATATGTAAAACATAACAACACCAAAAGTAGTTCAAAATTCGCAGCTGCCTTTTTCCTATTAACAGATGTTGTATCACTGTTTTACAATCAGTTGTTGTGTCAAAATATCAACGCATTCCATATTAACATTCAAATCGACTGTTGGTTAGTTCGTAGGTGGACACCCTCCACCTATAGGTTTTAAGGAAGCTCTGATTTCTTATGATTCAAAAAACTATGCACTAACAAATCTCGTAGTCCACGCCATTCTGCACTACTGAGGCTGCTCACAATTTCTTCATGATATACGTGCGCCTGCATGATGTAACATACTGCAGGTCCGCAGTCCACTCTGTAAATGTGAAATGGTTTTGATTAGCAGTTGACATGAATATTTGCATAATGGTTATGGAGGATTTGAAAAAAATGTAGTGAGGCTTACGAGTCGTCGCCTTGCTGAGGACAGACATCAACACTTTTGGTTGGTTGTGCTGGATTTTGGCCTGCTAACTTAGTGTGTAGCGGTGATGACTCGCCAATAACGCTCACAACATGCTCAATGTAGTTCCTCTGTGTATGGAATTTCACATTAGGGACCAGCAAACATATGTGTGTGTACAGTCATTTAATGCACGAGAACAAGTCATGTTTGTGTTGAAAAATAGCCACTTACAATTTCCTGTGCTTGGTCGATATGCGGGTCATGTATGCTTGTTCTTGGGCGCAACGAGTTGTAATGCTTCCACAAATTGTCTTTAGCATCATACACAACTATCGTCCAGTGGTACTCATGATGCAATGGGAATAGTAGGTATCTCTCTCCTTGGTAGTTTTTGACATGTGCGTCAATGTGTTTACTCCTTTTGCGAGGATGGTACTCTCGTATCACTTTCTGTACACATTTGACAAATAATTAATGGACTGTGAAGTTTCACAGTCACATTACAAGTAATGGAATGATAGATTTTACCAAACACATGCTCGTGAAGATCAATGAGGCTTCATCCGAAGTTGGGTTGACCACCTCTTGTTGTTCATGCAACAGTTTAGCATATGCATCTATGAGCTGCACAAACATGGGGTCATATTATATAGATTTTGTGGATGTGAGTGTGTGTGTGTCTGTGTGTGCATATGCATGAAGAGTGAATTATATTTGTAATGGCATACATTGCTGTGTATTGATTCCTCCTTGATAAGGTTGACAATGTCATCAAAATACACATATGTAGCCTTCGAATCTCCTTTCCACACCAGCAGCCTGTGCATTATTAACAAACCAATGTAAATATTCACATTGTATATATCTCAACAAACCAAAAAAACTGAACACAGTGAGGAATATAGACTATTACGGAATGTGAATGTTAACATTGGATGTTTGCACAGTCACTTACTCATCGCCTCCATTTTTTTTGTAAAGCTTGGACCTTTTGTTTGTCATGTTTGGACATCTTGGCCCAGACTTTGAACTTGTTGGTAAAGGATAATTTTTTTGGCTGCTTCGCTGGTGGGTGTTTCTCCACATCTTCAACCATTTCGACTGGATGGGGCTGCTTTTGGCCAGATAAGTCTGGGTATTGGAAGTCAGGCAGGCGATCTTCTTTGCGATCTTTTTCCTTTATACGCTTGACCCTAGAAGGTGGGTTGATATTGTGTTGCATTGGGCTAGGGGGTTGCCTTTCTGACATAGCTTGTGTGACAATGTGGACTGACTGGTCATCGTAAAGATCCTGAAGAATTGTTTTATCGCATTCTAAGTCGATGACCAGCTGCGTTAAGCGTTTGATTTCTTTATCTTTCTGCTCCATGCACTTCTTCATTTCGATATTCACGTTGGGCGGGCTGGACTGGTTAAACAATCTATGTTCAAGATCAGCTATGACTCTTGCCCTCAACTCCCATGAAAATTGAAGGTGTTTGTACTTTGCTTCCCATTGCCTTATGACGCCCCAAGCCTTCCGATTTTCTTGGATAAGGACATCAATGATATCAGGTTGGTTTGTGTCTGGTATTACAATAGCTCTGTCATAATGTTGGCTGCTAAATGGAATGTGAATGTCCTCATTACTATCCTTCAGGTCTACCCCATCCCCAGAAAAGTGGGAGCTGCTGCCACTGTGTTGTTCTCCCTTGATGTCAGAAAGGTTGGGAGATGTTCTGCCTGGTTCATAAATTTTAGGCTCCACTTTCAATGTTTTACGCTTGAACTTTTGTAATTCTGTTGGGATTGCAAAGAGTTCACCGGCATTAACTTGAAAATGAAAAAATTATGTTACTTAACGCATATATTTGGGTGGTGTTATAATGTGAATGTTTTGATCACTAGTTGAAGGCCCTACCTCATTAAAACCCAAATCTGCTAAAGAGATGGTTTTCATCTTCTTCTGCAAAGCAGTCAGATCCCACTTCACGCAGTGAGGAAAAGCATTGGGTCTGTGAGGTTGGAGGACGATTGTGTGCTCACACAACCAGTACTTCAATAAAACAAGAAACGCATATTGTTATTTAGCATTTGCAGAGTAATGGCAACCTATGTGAACATTAATCATAGTGGCATTGTTGTGAACATCCCAGTAGTACATTATCATTGAATGTGAACATTCACATCTGCGAATCGTGAGTGATGTGGCACTGTTGTGAACATTCACTGAAGTATGTTATGAGTGAATGTGATCAGTCACATTCACTGCTTCAGATGTGAACATTCACAGTAGTGAAAACATAATTGCCTACGGAGCAGTGTGGTAAACATTCACAGTGGTACATTATCATTGAATATGAACATTCACACTGTTCACATTTGAATCACTGATGTGAATGATGACAGAAACATAAGTGCTGTGGCACTGTTGTGAACATGCACAGTAGTATGTTATGAGTGAATGTGATCAGTCACATCAGTGGTTCAGATGTGAACATTCACAGTAGTGAAAACATAATTGCCTACGGAGCAGTGTCGTAAACATTCACAGTAGTATATTATGAGTGAATGTGGACATTCGCATCAGTGATTCAGATGTGAATATTCACATCTGTGAAATATAATTGCCTACGGACATTCACATCAGAGGTGCAGATGCCAATGTTCACAGTTGGCTTAGATGAACAACACTGGAGGACATGTCAATGTTGTTATTTGAAAACATGGGTACTTACCATCAATAACATGACACAGCCGGTGACTTTTGCTGGATTTTTGTCATTTTGGGAAATAGACGATGTCAACATTGTCCTAATTTGCTTGGCCCAATCATATTCTTGCATGCTTTCCAGTGGGACCATATGTGCGTAGTAGCCCCATCCTATTGTCTCTCCGCTTGTTGAGAAAAAAAGCTTCTGGCAAGCATACATGCACACTAGTCGGGCAACTTCTTCGTTGTCATCTTTCTTTTTTCCTTTCAATGCCTCGGTCAGAAGGGTGCGTATCCATTTTGAAGTCAACCGGCTGACGTCTTTGCATCTTCTGTTTACAATGCCAGTCTTTGGTTTCGCACCGTATGATATGTCCATTGGCTTGCTGCCACAGTCCACACCGAAAATCAGCTTGATGTCGCTGTTGTGTATTTTCATCTTCTTCTGCCCAATGTAGAAGGCATCTTCTGAAGCTTGGTACATTTGTAGTACATGCACAACAACATCATCATACTTCATGCATTTATCCAGGTCGATTTGATTGTTTCTCAATGCATCAAACAAATTCCAAAAAGGTGTTTGTCGAAGGCACCGAAGCTGTGCTTCTGTGAACTTGGTGGTTTTCATTAATTTGACCAGTCCGGTCATATTAGATCTGTAGTTCACATGGCGCATGTCGACATTGGTGCAAGTATTTGTTTTTGGGGTTTCTTCCTTCACATGGGACTCATTTCTTTTTCTCTTTCCTGTTTTCTTTTATGCGACATCTGCAAAATGGAGCATTTAAAAAAAATTAAGTGAAGGCTCATGTGATTAGCATAGTGGAACAGATGTGAACATTCACAGCATTTCCACTGATGTGCATGTTCACAGTTGTGTGCGTGGGTGTGAGTCACCAGAGTTTGTGTGTGGTTGTGAACATTCACATAGGTACATGAATGTGTATTTCGACTGTGTCACGACAAACACAATGAACATATCGTGTCAGTGTGTGGTAAACAATGCATTTTTATACAACCATGAACATCATTGAAGAGCATGTATAAAATTTTCAGGCAACGTGAATGTTCACAGCATATAAGAGCAGCACCAATAATATCTGATTGTCCTAAAATCTTCAGGCAATGTGAATGTTCACAACATAGAACAACAGCACCAATAAAATCTGACTCTCTTAAAATTTTCAAGCAATTTGAATGTTCATAGCCTAGAACTACAGCACCAACAATATCTGACTATCCAAAAATTTTCAAGCAATGTGAATGTTGACAGCATAGAACAACAGCACCAATAATATCTGACTCTTCTAAAATTTTTCAGACAATGTGAATGTTCACAGCCTAGCCCAAAAGCACCAATAATATCTGATTGAACTAAAACTTTCAGGCAATGTGAATGTTCACATCGTAGAACATTAACACCGCCGACATCTGACTCTCCTAAAATTTCTAGGAAATGTGAATGTTGACAGCATAGAACACCAACACCAATAATATCTGAATTCTTAAAATTTTCAAGCAAATTTTTCAGACAATGTGAATGTTCACAGCCTAGAGCAAAAGCACCAATAATATCTGATTGAACTAAAACTTTCAGGCAATGTGAATGTTCACATCGTAGATCATTAACACCACCGACATCTGACTCTCCTAAAATTTACAGCAAATGTGAATGTTGACAGCATAGAACAACAACACGAATACTATCTGAATGTCCTAAATTTTTTAGGCAAATTTTCCAGACAATGTGAATGTTCGCAGCCTAGCCCAAAAGCACCAGTAATATCTGATTGAACTAAAACTTTCAGGCAATGTGAATGTTCACATCGTAGAACATTAACACCACCGACATCTGACTCTCCTAAAATTTCCAGCAAATGTAAATGTTGACAGCATAGAACAACAACACCAATAATATCTGAATGTCCTAAATTTTTCAGGCAAATTTTCCAGACAATGTGAATGTTCACAGCCTGGCCCAAAAGCACCAATAATATCTGATTGAACTAAAACTTTCAGGCAATGTGAATGTTCACATCGTAGAGCATTAACAGCACCAATGCGAATGTTCACAGCCTAGAACAAAATAAACCAATAATATCTGATTGTCCTACAATTTTCAGGCAATGTGAATGTTCACATCTTCCAACAACAAGAACAACAATAGAATTGGCCAAAAAGTGTCAATGCCTGTGAATTTTCACAGCATACAACAACAACACCATTAATACCTGATTACTCAAACATTTTAATTCAATGTGAATGTTCATATCTGTTACCAACAGCAACAAAAAAAGAACTGGCCAAAACATTTTTGAAACCATGTGAATGGTCACAGCATTGAACAACAACGGAATAACATCTGGAATAATTTGATTATCAAACAATTTCCAATCAATGTGAATGTTCACAGATTTCAATAACAACAACTACAACCAGAACATTTACGAATGTTGACAGTTGTGAACACAATGTAATGGCAACTGTAATGTTTTTGAGTGCAAAAATCAAAAAATTTAGGGATTACGATTGAGGGGTTCAGAATAAATGAATGCTTACGTTTTTTGCCCATTTCGATGACAAAGATGTTGAGACAAAGGGACGATTCGACGAAGGAACGTACACAGTTTTCTGTGCGTACGAACGACGAAGAAGATGATGAGACGATGTGACGTTCGAACGAAGACAGTCTTCTCGGCGTAGGGATGGGGGAGAAGATGATGAGACGATGCGACGATGCAACGATGGAAGGAATACAGTCTTCGGGGCGTTGAGGCGATGTGGAATATGGTTTTGGATTTCTGGACTGTAGAGGTACTGTGCGTGATTTCCTGCGCAAGAATAGAGAGGGGAAGAGAAACGGTTATTAGATTCAAAGAGAGAGAGAGAGAGAGAGAGAGAGGGGCGCGTGTTTTTTTAGGACTTTTTTGGTCTTTTTGTATGAAATGGACCTAATGGAATATTATAAAACAGTATGGGTTTCATGGAACAACACTCTTAGATAATGGATTTACTAAAAAAGCTCTCAATTTTAGGATTCATCTTTTAGAAATTTGAAATTTTTTGTTTTTTGTATTTTTTTTTTTGTTTTCATTGATTTTTTTTAATATTCTAAACAATTTTTTTTTAAAAAAAATTTAGATACATCTGACATAAATACACTTAAAAGGTATAATATTTGTGAACAAAAAAAATATTTAGAAAATTAACTATAAATACCAAAAATTAAAAAATAATAAAAGAATTTAGTATATTTTTCGTATTCTTATGTATTTATTAATTTTTTTACAAATAAAGAAGAATTTCATAAGGGCTCTCTCCATCCTCATTAAACAACTCTGCCCTTTTCCAAAACAAGCTTGAAGAGCCAAAACAACTCTGCCTTCACCAATAGCCTGAGGTTAGAAAATTGGGTGGGGCCGTTGTGTCTTTTTTAGCTTTATAAGGACATTTTTGGTCTTGTCTCCCTTTGATCGGAAAGTAATAGATGAATCTATTGGTAGTTGCTGAGATGTGCTAGGGCGAGGGACAACACCTCCCCCCTTTACCTTTGCCATCTCCAAATGGCATGGCCTGCATGAACCCAAAAACCAAAAATCAAAATTCGCGTTCATAAAGCAAAATACGTTCAATATAAGTTGAAATAAGATGGACATCTTACCTAAAACTGGCGCAACACACTCAACAACAAAGACGAATGAGAAAAAGTGAGTGTTGATCCAAAGGTAAGTGTAGTGCCCACCTGCAAACATAAAGAAGAGCTACACATTACAAAGGAAAAGGTACAACTTACAATTTTAAGCCTGCCTTACTAACAAGAAAACATACCAAGCTTCGAAGCTCAAAGGGAAAGACCCACGTGGAAAAAATCACTCGTCCTTTGCTGTCCAAGCACAACTTCGCACTCGAACTCACTGTGTAATTCAGCAAGATAAAAGTAAGTTCTTGGCGGAGAGCACCTCAACCATAAACAAAATTCAAAGTGAAGGAATTTACCCAATTGCTCAATGGCCAAACTAGCCCTCCATGCTCTAACTTGCTCCTAACTGGCTTTTGACAACAACACCGGGTTCAATCTGTCTTATGTCGCACAAGTAAGCAAAAATTGGGGGCACAAATTTAATCACTAAATGACGCAATTAGTAAAAGAGTAGAACAAGAAGGAAGTAGGAAAACTTATTAGAATAAATTTTGAAGCATAGCCAAACATTGGGCAAAGCTCACAACTATCCAACCCGGCTTGCAAACCACTTTGCTTGAATAGCTCGCTCTAACCCCTCGCTCGCCTTCAAGTCACGCTCCAAGTAATATAGGTTGCATCTGACTTAGTCTAGAATAAATTTGTTTGAATTAGGTTCGCAAATTGATCTTGTCGCTTCACCTTGCTAGCTACTCTCCCTCCCCTTGCCGATTCGCACTTGTAAATTTTGAAGAAACCCTTTCCAAACCTTGCTTGGTTGGCAACTCTATTGCTAGCTCACAAAGTAAAAATAAGCAATATTGATCTTGCTTGACCCACTTTGGAGAGCACTATAGAGAGTAGTTCGTAACCCCTTTTTCGGAAACTACTTTGAAGAGCAACATGATTTACTTTTAAGCTTGTGAAAATTTCGCTTCTCCAGCCCCCTTTGCTTTGGCTCTCAACATAGCAAGCTCTCTAGACACCTAGCTCTGGCTCGCAATGTAGCAAGCTCTCCACCACCTCGTGGCTTGTACAATCACTTCCACTGTAAGAGGGACCATTTGTCAAGCTGTGCAGATGATAACCCCACTAAACTTGGAGCAAATACACGTTAACATTATCTCACAAACACCATGACTGAGACACTTGGATCATCACATTTCAATTATACCGGCACCAATGGTAGAGTCGAACACAAGCTTAGGACCAGAATGGACCTTAGAAGAATTCGGCTATCTTAACCTCAAGGAAAGGAGCACCTTCTACAACCCTTGCAACACCCCCATTGAAATTATTGCTATTCAATAGCGAAAGAGTCACTCACCCTAGCTTTCTTCACCATTAAATGCACCTCAACGCAATTGCGCACCACTAATTAGGCATTATTACAGAAACAAGGAAGTCAAGTTGAATTCATGAGCAAATTTCTAGGGTATCGGAATACGCAAACCATAGAACCGCTCAACAATGGATTAGAAAGGATGAGAGGAGGTATGTGGTCTTATGGAATGACACGGAAATCTCCTATGAGATTGTGGAACTGCCAGCGCAAGAGACTGCCTCCCAAAAAGTTCACATCTTTATTTAGGTAACTTTGAGGTTGGATGAAAACTAAGGGCTAAAGCTCTATATGAGCATTTGTATGTCCCATCTTCTCAGTTAAGGTCTTGTATAAAAATATTGAATGAAAATTTAGCGCCTTGTTTAAACTGTTCATATGTTAATATTTTTAGCATCACTTGTGTACAAATACACTCACTGCTGTTAAGAGCACTTGTACAAGGGGGCATTAATGTGAGTGTCTATACCACACTCGACATGTGGCGAGTCCTTTAGGTGCAACATCATTGCCATCACACGCCTACGTGGCAAACCTCTAAGGCACCATGGTCAATTGAGATTATATGCCCAGCCTAAGTGGAGGCATGCACATCAGCAAGAATGAAGAACTCTAATAAGTGGCCGTCAACCTGCCTACCGCTTACTAAGGCCCTAGGTTCACCTACTAGCCCAATTTGGGTTCTTGGTCCACCTATATTCTCTTGGCGGCCTAAAGTTGAGCCTCTAGCTCGCGCTTGCTCGGCCCTTTGGCCCATATACACTTGCCTGGTAGCCTAAGGCGGGGCCTTGCCTTAATGCTTACTTATTCTACCAACCACTTGGCTGCCTAGGATGGGAGCAGGGCCTAGGCATCCCCACTTGGGACATCGAAGGACTGTGGACTGGATGCAATGACCACAGGACCATCAAGATATTGCTTGGTTGCCAAGATAGCTCCACCTTTACTAGATTTAGAGAGGCGCAAGAGGGACCTTACACCCACTCCTTTGCATACATGATATGTTGCCCTCGAAGATATCAGACTCGCCACTCCAGACGACAATAGAGCTAATATTAGCTCCTTGAGGTGAGGAAAGCCCGCCACGTGTCCCATAGGTTGTTTGGGCTCCAATACTAATATGTCATACATGTAGTGATTATCAACATTCGTTATACAACAACATTTGACCAATACATGATTGTTACTAAAACTTTTCTTGTTTTTGTTTCAAAAAACACTAAAAATGAAAAAAAAAATTTGACCAATACTTTTGAGTATATAAATAGGAAAGTTGCCCTCTGTCTCTAATAGCTTAAGCTTTTGGATGAGTTGGTGGTCAACAATTCAACATGGTATCTAAGCTCTAGTTCTAGGTAGTCTTCAGTTCAGGTCCCGTCATCCCCATTATCTTTGTTATTAAGCACTCTGTTTTCCTTGTTTTTTGTGCACCTTGTTCACTCAGTTTGTTTGCCTCTCCACATGTGATGAGGAGTGTACGTTGTTGGGCCTATTTCCCAATTGCTTAAGCTTTTGGAGACAATTGGTGATCTAATAGATACTAAGCAGGGCCTATGTTTTGCCTGCATTTCAGAATATAAGGCATTTTATTTTTCAATGTTTAGCTTTCGTTACATTAACCAATTGTAACATACTTTTGTAAGTTCTTTTGCAATACCCAAGAGTTTCCTAAAACACTCATCGTGTAAGTTAGCGATGTGCATGAGGGAAGTTCAAGAAAAATATCTTGGAGAGACTTGTTTAAGTGGGGTTGAGCATCTGAATTTTCTGAATAGATAAATTTACTAGTTATGTTGGAAATAAATCAAATAATCAATACTATGCTATTGAATGCCAGTCTTGAGTTTAACAATTCTGGGTACCTCAGATTTTTTTTTGGTTGATAACATGCCTTTTGAAAACAGGTTAATTCCCTACGGTCCGTGGCCTCAAGAGTTTTGCTGGCGAGGTGAGTTGAAACTGAGACCTTGGAGGGAGCAATCCCTAAGTCTCAGCCCTCATCTACCAAGCCAAACCCTTGGGGTTTCCTCAGTTACTTATTGTGTCCCTAGAACTTTTTTGCATCTTAATTTTTCTTTTTGATGCAAATAACCAAACCAACCCAACCAAGCCTTAAGTCCCATCAAATGGGGTCGGCTACATGAATTCTTTTTCTCCACTTGACTCTATCAATGGCCATTTGGTTAGTCAAATTAATGAGATTCATATATCTATTTACTACACTAGCCCACGTCAATCTAGGTCTGCCCTTTCCTTAACACTTCCATCTACCGTTATTGTATCGCAACTCTTTACTGCTGTCTCTGTTGGTCTCCATTGTATATGACAAAACCATCTCAATCTATTCTTTCTCAACTTATCTTCTATTGGTACTGCTCTTACTCATTCATGAATATGCTCATTTCAAACTCAGTCTCTTGTAGTCTTGCTACACATCTATCTTAGTATTCTCATCTCAGCAACACATATTTTATCTACATGTTTCTTTGATGCAAATATGTGAGATAATTTATTAGATTGATGTTATTACTGTTTCATGACCTCATTTCTGCAGGATTTTCAGAAAGATATTATTAAAGCAGAATATTGAAGCAGGCAAAACATGAATTAGTACTGACTGGTTACATTGTTCTGGGGGATATTGTAATGGATGAACTAAACAAGTTGCTTTATCAACATTTGTGTCATAGTAAAACATTATTATTTAAAGAAAATGCTATTCCACCATAATTTATATACAAAAATTTTCACCAGAATGATATGGTAGTATCATTTGTGTAATTAAATACATCTCAATGGGCTCTTTATTCTGAAGTGATATCCTCAAATCTCAGTCAGGTCAATACATATAAGTTATTTTGTATGGATTTTCTGTTTGTGTATCACCACTCATTATTTAATGGTCCATTATGTATTTGAACTGAACTTTATTACTATTATGATAATCAGGGACCAAGTTGTCTGAGGATTGTTTCAGATATGGAGTTGAGAACGTTGATGACAAGAGTCTAGCTAAGGCTGCATCTCTATATGGCGATACCCGGAAACATATGGAACAGGAACAAGAAGACTTTAATAGGCAATTATTTTCTCAGGTTTGTGCTATCTCTATGGTTAGCAACTATCAAATCAGTAGTGCTTCCTTTGGGATGACTGCTTGTTAATCATGTATTTCTATCACATAAATGCAATATATCAGCTAATTCTAAATAGAAATGAACATATCTTGTGATTCCTTTTTGAGTTTCTTTGAGATGCTAATTAGTTGTATATAAAACATATAAGCTACTTGATTATGTGATTCTTTCATATTGAACTCCATCTTTTTTTTCTACCTATGCATGACTCTTTTATTTAAATTGCCAAAATTTGATTTGTTTAATTAAAATTAATTTCTGCTTTTTGATATTTTGGAGTGAGAAGAGCACACAATAGCAAAACACCACATTTAAAGAAATCTTGTTTGATAACAATTTGAAAGAGGCTAGTTAATCTAAATGGTGAATGATCAACCCCACATATTTTCAACCAGTTTACTTTCTTCATATTCAAAATTGAGCTATTTATTGTAACTATCCTAAAAATAGAAGTATGAACCTAACAGTTTCTATACCCAGATTTTAGAACCATTGAGAGCAATGGTAACTCGGGCTCCTTTGGAGGATGCTCGTCATCTTGCTCAACGTTATAGTCGAATGAGACAAGAAGCAGAGACACAGGTAATCAGACAGCGAGGCTTCATTTATCTCGGGAAAATATTTTTCCTTGTGGCTGCAATTCAGATCGCCTAATCATAATAGTAGATCCTTAATATATTTTTTTATAGTTTTAATTGACCATAAAAGGAAACAGGCAGCAGAGGTTTCTAGAAGACATGCTCGAGTAAGGGAAGCTCCCATTCCTGAAAATGTGGCAAAGCTTCATGCAGCAGAATCTAAAATGCATGAATTGAAAGCAAATATGGCAGTACTGGGTAAGGAAGCCGCAACTGCATTGGCTTCTGTAGAATCACAGCAGCAAAGGTTGACATTCCAGAGGCTTGTTTCATTGGTATGTCTGCGCTTCTGGAATTATTATTCTAATTTGTCACATATAATCATATGGTTTTGTATTTACTTTTGAAGTTTATTCTTCTGAAGGTTGAAGGTGAAAAATCATATCATGAAAGAATAGCTACCATTCTTGGTGAGGTTGAAGCTGAGGTGAGTGTGCCTACATTCTCTTTTTTCCAGAAAAGAAATATTTGTACATTAAAACAATTTTTGTTTGTGGGATGACCTGGAATTTGGTGGTAGATGGTCTCAGAGAAACAACGAAAAGAGTCTGCTCCTCCTGTAATTCCATCCACCTACAGCTTAGAGAAAACAAAGTACTTCTTGGCTGAGGTATTTTCTAAATTTCATGAATTTCTGGCCATTAAAGGATATGTTTCCAATTCCCAACTAGCTTCGGGGAGGATTTTATTTATGGTAGAATTACTGGAAAGTCCCTTTTCAGGAACTTGCTTACTTGTGATCCAATAAGTCCTATATATTTGAAATTTTATTCTAGGAGATATATATTTATTTTTTTGAATTAGATGTGTGTTCATGATAACTTCACCCTTGTTTTGGTCAACATGCTTATATGGCAACATTTTGTTTTTTCAAGTTTAAATTCTGTAACTTTCAAAATGCACATTGATTTTTGAAAACTACTCGACAGGATCTATCAAACAAGATCACAATTGAATATAAAATTATGTAAAATGTAAAAAGTAAAAATTTTACTTCTTTTTTTTTTTTTTTGGAATTTGAAAGTGTCAATTTTTTCTACAATTATAATAGTGTGAATTTTTAGGTGTGAAAATTATAAATGTAAATATTCGTATTTTCAATTAATAAAATATTATGAATTTTTGAAAAGTATAAAAATTAGTTTGAATATGCGTACTTTTTAAAAAAATTTCACTTTCTAAAAATTAATATTATTCTAATTTATTGAAAATGTGAATATTTGTACTTTTAAAAAATGTACATTATTTTTTATTCGTATAAAGTGTGAACATTTATATTATATAAATATATAATATAAGCAAAAACATTGTTGGTTCATTGAGTCTTAAAGTTCTAACTCTATTTTCATAAATTTTTGAATTAAAAAATTATGAAAATACACATGTCAATAAACTATTGGTCATTTGATCAATATGGTAATATATATAAACATGTAACTTAACTCTTATGAAACATTTTACATAGAAATCAAATCAAACTTTTTTATGTTTCAAAATATCAAAATCATATCATTTATTGATCAATAAGGTAATATATTCCTTAAAATCATAATGCTTTTTAAAAAATAATTTACTAAATATTTATAATATGAAAATACACATGTTATAATATGAGAAAATTTAATAAATATTATATTATAATATTATGAGCTCTTTTGTTATATTAATAGTTCTTTCTTATTTATTATTATCTTATTTTCATTTAATTTAAATATTTTGTTAATCCATATGGTAAGTTTTTTTAGTTTTCTTTAATTATAATCATCAATCTCTAATGAGCAATAAGCTGGCTGGAATTTCTATAATAGAAAGCATACATGTTTTGAAATTATCACTTTATTATTTATCGATAAATTAAACTATAATTATTATTTGTGAGTGATAATTTTTTCCAAATCTATTATTATCTATATATTAACGCAAAATAACTTTTTGTCCAAAATGTTTTAAGAGCTTCAAAATATTAATTTCAATTTATAAAAATTAATAAATACATGTCATATAAAATTATTAACCCATCCAAACATATCTAATTTAAAATTTAAAAACAAAATTAGATGAAAAGTTTATATGCAAGTCGAATCTAATTTAAGTAATAATTGATGGATTTCGGAGATCAAATTTAAAGTTTAAGAAGAATATGAGAAAAAACAATTATTTTTCATATAAATATTCGATGACATAAATAAAATTTTCATAAGAGAAATATTCTAGAAAAAATCTATACATGGTAATATACCTTTTGTTGATTAAATTTTAGTTATTTATATTTGGAATCTTTAAAAAGAATGTTCAAAATAAAATTTTAATAATTTATTGTTGACTACATTTGATATCATGCCTTAGATGACACTTCATATATATCATGTGGAGTGTATCAAATGATGTAATTAGTGCCATGTAAGATGTCACATTATATAATATCCAAATATGATAATTCTAACATTACTCAATTTAAAAATATATAAAAAAATGTAGATTATCCAAATTCAATATTTTATATACAAATATAAGTGAGTTTAGGGGTTTAGCAAAATGGTAGTCACAAGGCATGGGCAACTAACAAAGAGAAGTTAAGATGCCTAGTTGGAGAAAGGTTGGATGATTGAGGTCGTGAAAGTCGCGAGGTGGGTGAGGGAGGAGGACAAGAAAATGGTCCAATGTGAGCTGCCAAAGCTCGCGAGTGTGAGAAAATCGAGAAGTTGTACTTGGTAATTAATGCTGATTTCAGGACGAACAAGAGCATAGGGGTCACTGGTAGTTCATTGTTTGTCATTTTCATTTTGTTATTCAATTTTTTGATTTAAACAAATTTTGCTAGATTGAGTTTCAAAAAAAAAAAAGAAAAAAAAAAAGGAAAAAAAAAATAGAGTTACTATTATTATATATATATACGCATATAGTTTATGATATCATCATATGAATTTAATATATGACAAACTAAAATTATGAAACCTTAGAAAATAATAACGTATTTATATTTTATCATAGGTGTAGTTTTTGTTCCTAAAAATAAAAATAAAAAAGTGCAATTTTGTAATTTAACAATTTTTATTTAATTTTTACTAATTACATTATGATTCATCTATTTGTTATTTAGAACTTAAAACATAGCATTAATGGTAGAAAAAAAAAGAAGTGAAATTGTGATAAAAATGGTTAAAATTTAATTAATTCTATTTTCTTTACTGTATAATTTTGAAATTAATTGTTAATTATTTATTTGAAACCGTGCATAGCACGGGTATTACGCTAGTTACATATGTAGATGTTGGATTCCAAAAAATAATGGAAATCAACAGTTTGTTCTTCTAGTTAGGTATGATTTTCAAATGGATTATTTTTTCCTGTTTTAACGCCCCAATCATGGTGAATCTCTTATTTAATCCCAACTAATATTTTCAATTTTTCATGTTAGGTTTAAGTAAGAATATTCACGTTTACTCATTACCATCTATATAATTGGTGGCAATTGTGTCATTTTCAATCACATCGGACTAGATGGGTTTCAAGAATTTTAATTGGATTATATGGAACATAAGGCTCCTAAATGGGATTTACTAGTAAATGCCCCTTTATTTATTTATTTTTTAAAATAAAACTTTTACATTTGATCTTTTAATTAATTTTTTGAAATGAACTTAGATATGTTTTAAGGTCCTT